TGGCATCCTTGTACATGCAGTGCTGCCATCTTCTGTTTCAGTCCGTTATTACACTCTTAAATCCTGCTACTTATTCCTGTGTCTTTCAGGATCTTACAAAGCTTCAAACAACGCGTCAACTATTAAATCAGTCGTTTTGATAGTTGACGTAATCGTGACTAGTCGACTAATCCTGGCAGCCGTATAGGCAACACAATGTTTTTTCAAATGATCCTACACCGCATGTGTCCTACGGCAGATTAAAACTCAGGACTTTAGAATTTCTATTCAAAAATTTGTATTCTCGTGTACTAATATTATTTTATTATCATATTAATGTAGCACAAGGTTCAGGTACCTTTGTGTAAAACCAGTTTTCAACAAGCTACTTTTTACTTACTTATTTACTTTGAGTACATTTCAGAGCCTGTTCTTTCTCAGTTTTACTTGAGTAAAAAAGTTGCTTCAGTACTTTTATTGGAGTATTTTTCAACACAGGCATCTGTACTTGTACTTAAGAAAAGAAGTCTGTACTTTTGCCACCTCTGCTTAAAAGTAATCAGATACCCAGCTGGAAAAATACACACAGGAGGAGACAGATGGAGGGCGGGTACCAAGAACGACTCACTGAGGTCTCCACTGAAGTCCAGCATCCTGAGATCTGTGAGCTATGGAGGACGAGGATTAGTGAGTGTCAGAGACACAATTCAGCATTAAACTCAGAACATCTATAAATAAAACAGGAAAATGGCCCCAGAGATGAGCTGCTCCAGAGTTCCTTGTGCAGCTGAAGACAGATGGTGAGGAAGTATCACAGACCAGGCCCCTACATTGGATTTACCATCGACACATGGAGGAAGTGGCTGAAATCAAAAATTCCAGTTTTGCGGTACAGTGGTCCCTCGTCTATCGCGGGAGTTACGTTCTAAAAATAACCCGCGAGGTAGCCAACTTTATTTTTTACAATGATTATAGATGTTTTAAGGCTGTAAAATCCCTCAATACACACTTTATACACTTTTCTCAGACAGGCATGAAGATTTTCACACTTTTCATTCTTTTGTTTAAACTCTCTCAAAGTTCAAACCTTCGTAGAAGAATAAGTTCAGTATTACAGAATGAGACCAAAGGCACCCGCAGGTGACGACGTCTCGTCGACATTGTTGTGCTTGTTGGGGAGAAAACTTACAAACATACAGTGGAGCACTTCAGAGTCACACAGCTAGCGATGGAAGATTTATGTCAATTTGACAAGCTGAATGCATCCTGTACTGTACAGGAGACACGGCATGAGATTTATTGACAATGGTCTACAGCCAATCAGGATGCAGAACACAATGCGCTGTAAAAAAAAAAAAAAGAGAGGGAGAGAAAAATTGCACATGAAGAATCCACGAAAGAGCGAGGCCGCGAAAGGTGAACCGCGTTATAGCGAGGGACCACTGTAATCATATTGTAATCAAATCTCACACTAAGAAAATAATCAGCTTTCCCACATGATAAAAATTAGATCTTAGGCCTGAGGAATATTTGGAAGTTTCATTTCAACCAGAAATCTGTTATTTGAAGTTAATCGTCAGATTGAGCTCTCAATGGTTCTGTGACGTTTTAAAGTAAAGATTTCTCTTATCACCCCAAAGTCCACTAAAACAGAAGAAACTTTGTTTACAGTGGTAGCTACAAATAGGGAAGACGATGCTGACTGTCTTTTTCAGCGTTAATTTGAATACCGAGCTGTGGAGCTCTGCGCGTCTACTGGGAATCTATGGATGGAAGTTAGATTCATGTCCAGCGCTCCACATCAAGTTGCAGAGTGGAAACCACAACAGAGTTACAGAGCGGGGTCACTGAGCGCAGAGTTGCATTTTACTGCACACTGTGGACCCTGCACAGTACTTTTGAGTTTTCAATTGTTACTTTTTTTAACTTTTACTTTTTAGTTTTCAAAAACAGAAATAAAAAAAGGATCATTATGGATGTTGCCAAAATATGTGTAGCAAGGTGGGCAGAGAGTACATAATAGAAAAAATACGTTATTTGAGAATATTTTTTTTTAACCCTACGGAGTAAAGCTATTTAAACTGTTGTGGTATCTGTCTACATTAATGAAATTATATCAATTATCAATTTATGTAACCAGAGTCTCTGAGTTTATAATATGGAAAAAATCAAATCATAGCTCTAATGCTGAAAAGACTCTCTCTATGCATGTATGTTCAAACATGCATCTCTTTTCTGTGTTTTAATAGCTGCTATCTATTCCTTTAGGCCCAACAGGAGACCCAGAAGGCAGCTCTGAGATATGAGAGGGCTGTGTCCATGCACACTGCTGCCAGAGAGATGGTGTATGTGGCAGAGCAAGGCCTTTTGGCTGACAAGAACACCATGGACCCAACCTGGCAGGAGATGCTTAACCATGCCACCGCCAAGGTACACACTTCTGCCTCTTGCTGATGGTAGTGTTGTTGTGCTGTTTATACAATTAAAATCAGTACGCTATAGATAATTCTTTCTGAACAAAAGGTCACCAAAAATAAATCTCCAACACAGGAACCTTCCCAAGGGACTAGAAACCTTACTACATTACTACAGACCAAAACAGCTACAACAGTTCAGGGAGCTGAGACTGTGGCTGCATCACTATTTCCACTTATATGAAAAAGTTCAGGTGGTTGTTTGTCTGTTCTTCTTTATAATACAAACAAATACACAATCATTAATAGTAATGGTTACAAATATATCTGTGTTTTGTCTCATTTCCGATTAAATAAAGGCTTCCAGATCATTTACATCCCAACTTTTTCTGACTATAGTTTTAATTGAATGGTGGCTGAATATTTAAATACAAACCATTTTAATGTTATTAGTCAAATCTTTTATAACTGTGACAACTGAAAATGAAGCATGTCTGCTTATATCAGTGCCAACCTGGGATCTGGGCAGAAGTTAAAGTGTGATCTAAGTGTCCATCCAGCGTTCCTACTCTTAGTCATGGTTTTTGTCCTGTCAGGTGAATGAGGCAGAGGAGGAGCGCCTTCGCAGTGAGCGAGAGCACCAGCGAGTCACCCAACTGTGCCAGGATGCTGAAGCTCGAGTCCAGACTCTCCAGAAAGCCCTGAAGAAAGTCATTCTCAAGTCCAAGCCTTACTTTGAACTCAAGGCTCAGTTCAATCACATTTTGGAGGTATGTACCATCATTAATTTAAAAATATCTTTTGAGTTATTCATTAGTCATGAATTTGCCTGTCAGCTGTAAAACACTTTATCAAGGCAGACAAGAAATGTTATTCCAGTTACTCCAAAAAGCTCTGTGACAGTCACTGAGAATGCATTGCATGATTTTGCATTGCAAACAGATAATACTCGCTGTTGTAGAAGCAGCAAATCCTTTATCTGAACGTGGTTGCCGTACATATTGAAAATTGAAGAAAAACAAATTTCATTAGAAGAGTTAGCGGTTCCTCACCCCCAGTCCTTGCAGTTAAAAATCTGAACTTTTTAAAATCAAGATAGTGCCCACAACAGTATCAGAATGCAGTTTGCAGTTATTTATGTATTGTCTGTAAAAGTTGTCTGTGTGAGGCATACTAACCCCATGTTGCTCTCTGACGCGTCCATCGGAGTATGAATGTGTGTGAACATTAGATAGGAAGCACTTAGCGTGGGAAAAAGTGCTTGTGCAAATGGGTGAATGTACAAGTTGTGTAAAGCATTTGAGTGCTCGAAGTAGAAAAGCGCTGTATAAGAACCACTTGATTTACCATGTGTGCTATACTTTTCACATCTTAAGCCAGTTCTACTTCAAATACAAAAGATCAAACATTGTGTACTTGTGTACCTGTTTAGGTGTAAAACCCTCAAAGTAGTAAATTCGTGTAACGACGGCTTTTCTGTTTGGTCCACTGCACCCAGGCGCTCACAAAATTAATTACTGTGTAAAATATCACTGACAAAAGTGAAGAGTGAATTTCTTTATGCTGGACAATAAAATTACTAACTAATGATAAGGCTTGCATTCATGGTATAAGAAGTTGCATGTATGTAATATTCATTGTTTTAACCAAGGTGTAATTAATTGGAGTGTAGAGATGTTTAAATGTGTCAGCGTGAGCCTTCCTAACTTGCTGTAACCTTTTTTGCAGGAGCATAAGGCTAAAGTCGTACGGCTAGAGGAGCAAGTGGCAAAAGTAAAAATGCGTTACTCCGTGGCCCTGCGGAACCTGGAGCAGATCAGTGAGCAAATCCATGCACAGAGGGGGCGGACCAGAGCTAGCAGGGGGCATCCTGCCATCTGTGGGGGTCGGAGCTCCCCTGTAGGTGCTGAAGCTGAGGTCAGAACTGCCGCTGGAATTCATGACAGTAGCTGTGTGGGAGTCGACACTATTGAGAGCGATTGGGCAGATGGTGAGAAAACCAGACTGTGGGTAGAGCGGCACCGAGAGAGTGGCTGGGGCCAGAGGGAGCAACTGGAGGCAGAGCAGGTCGGCTCAGACTGCATGTCGGTTATCAGCCTTCAAACCATCGCCTCCGACCTGGAAAAGTGTGACTCGGTGGAGCATTTGGGCGACCTGAGTGATGCTGGGAGTGTGCTGGGTGAAGAGTGGGACCACTACAGCAAGTCTAATGACAAGCCAGTCAGCAGGGAGATGGTGACTGAAGGGCCTCAGCAGGAGCTTGTTCACCAGGAGAAAGGAGCTGCTAATAAAGAGAAACAGGAGAGTTTTGTTAAGCAGCACCACAGAAGTGTTAGTCTATGATATCAAGCAGGAGGAGGAACGTTGTGATGGTGATGATCGTGGTGATTAGGCTGAGGGATCATAGAAAAACTTGAGAGAATCTGAAATATCTCTGACTGAGAGGTGCCAAACAAGCTGACAAGAAGGCGCTGACAGTGATTGACAAAGTTAGGAATAGGTGGGTGGATTAACAGGTCCATCAGCTGCACACTAATGAATCTTTGTATGACAACATTAATCCAGTGGAGCAGCCCTGCACAGCGCTTGAGTCTGATCCAATCTGTTGCTCAACAGCTGAGGAAAAAAAGTAATTGCAAAGTACAAAAAGGCTTTTAACAACAGTTTAAACACATAGTTGTGTTTCATTTGTGCACCTGGTTTTGGCATTCCCTGTGTTAGCATGCTATCAGCTTGCTTTAAGGATGGTCTGAAGCACCTGTTATACTTTCTGCATTTACAAGTTTGCAAGGGTGCCTTTGGGTCTGGGTAACATAAATTTGTGCCATCAGAGGATGAATGCAAGGCTTTGTAAAGACACACGCATATGTACCCTCCAATTTGACCACTCTACAATGATTATGCTGCAAGGGGAAAAAGCTGTACATGCATCTTCCAAGTGCACTCCAAGCAGACCAGGAAATAATCATAACAACTTGCCTGTGGTGTCCACCAGCTGCTGTGCCTGCTTCTGCAAGTGAGTATGGTCTTTAGGAGCAATAAGAGTGAATTCACTCTGCAAACTTTCCTGATGTAGGAACATGCAGAGTGTGACAAGAAACATGAGCAGTCACACTTGGGTTGGACACAAACTGGCAGCATGACCTGAACCAACCCATCTGGAAAACTGTGATAATCCTCAATTCTGAAGAAAGAATGTGGACACAAAACTGCATTGTCTGTGGAGGATAAAATAAGTCTGTAAACTGTGGGTCTTTTTTGCGCCACATGCTTGGATATGGCATTTGTATGGACGTATGTAATCGGTCTTAAAACTGATTTCAGCTACTCCCTTATTCACAATGGTCACCATAGCACGCAGTGCTACATATTTGAGTTTACAGATTTGTATCTTCTCACGAGACTCAACGGAATCTTTCACTTCTGTTTTTGAAGCGCTGCCAAAATAAGAGCAACATCAACCACACTGAAGCGAGCAGTGGTTTCAGGGTAAAGAGGCACACTGTAGGGTGCAGTTAGGCTCAGCTTCCCATAAAAATATTTATAAAATATATTATAGCATAATTTCATAGAGTGGAACATTTTCCACTATTGTACATGGAATACATCCTCAAATGTGCCGTGAACTTTGTGAATTGTACATTAACCAATCCCGTATCCTAACCCTAACCCAGTGCTGCTAAAATAAACGTCTAATTTCAGAAAGATAATGAGCTTCATTCTGTCCTTGAGTTCAGCAACTGCCAGAGGTGGGAAGTACAAATACTTTGTTACTGTACTTAAGAACATTTTTGGGAGTGTTAGGTCGGACAGGTTGTGGAGCTACCGATGGGTGAAGTCTTGAGTTCCTGCTTTTCAGCTAGCTCACCTGTTGCTCATCAGCCTCTTCAACAGCCATTTTAAGGACCAGCTCCAGCACCCAGTTGCCACCAGATTGTCTGCCTCACCTGAATAAGGCTCTTTCATGCCTCTCCCATTTTACCATACTCATACCATAATCTAGACTCTCAACTCTAGATCTTTGTTTTTCAGATATACTGTATCTTGACTCCATCTGTGTATTCAGCGTATAGCCATGAAATATCTGAAAATTTTATCTCTTAAAAACAAACAATGTATGCTTCCAAGTGAGATTCACACAAAGTCAACTAAACCTGGGCTTTTTGGGAGATCTAAGTGTCAAATTTTGCATATTTGCCCACATAGAAATATGAAATTATTCAGACATTTCTCTTTACCATATATAAACTTTTGTTTTTAAAAGAATTTGTTAACAGGAGTGCAGGAGTGCTTTTTTGCCACATCTCTGCCAGTATCCAACAGTCGAATAGTCAGCCAATCTTCGCTTCCCTTAAATTAAACAGATGGTGACCTGCTGCATCTGCCCAATGTAGCACTCTGCCTTGATTGAGATTTCTCATAAATGTTATTTTTGTGAAGTTGGAGGTTTTGCAGAGCTGTTTGAACACCAACAAGCCTTGGGTTTCTTCTAACATGGGTGTTACTTCTGTGTAGAACTATTTTCCTTCCCTCAAACAGAGCTGTATACTTATTCTGCTAGCACATGCTAGTCTTGTGTTCAGAAATTTTTGGAAGGAATCTCAGGAGAAAGGTCTGTCTTTTTAAAAAGATTTTATTTGCTTTGGCAGTTGTAAACTTGTAAGTTTACACAGCGCTGTGGATCTCTATGTGAACCAGCAGCATGTTTTACAAAAAGGATGACCCTCAAGCGGGCTGCACAACATTATATAGTGAGACAAAAACATAGATTATAACAGCTATCTTCCTCCTGCACGGACGTGGCAGTTGTTGGGTCTGCGCTTCCACAGGCCCCGCTGGTTTAGAAACTTATTCCCGTTAACGACAAGGAAGCAAGACAATCAGCGATCAATTGATTTTAATTCCGCAAGGGAGGCCCTGGTTGGTGTCTCAGAAAAGCACTCTGAATCCAACCGCAGAATGACCCAGACTTAGGCCTTCGCTTGCCGCCTTTTATTGAAAACAGTTACAGTACACACAAGCACCTCCCATTGTAAAACCCCCCTATGGTTCTAAAACATAAGGCACTATGTGTGTATGTGTGTGTATGCATGTGCGAGAATGTATGTGTGTGTTTGTGTTTGGAGGTGCTTTGTGTGACCTCCTGCCCACAAAAGGGTCATAAAGGCAGGAAGCTTATTAAACAAGAAAACAGAACCCTCACATAGATGTCCCTATAATAAAACACTATCACATCCCCCACCGTCCAACAGGCTGGAGAGGTCAACGGAAACAAAGGAATGTCTTTGATCATGCTGTTTGAACTAAGCCTTACAAATTTAAGTAACACAATGACAACATTTAACAATTTGACTCCAACAGCAGTCTTGGTGAGAAGCATCCTCGTCTCTCTGTGACTTCGTCTGGTATCTGCTCCATCCCCTGTAAGAGACAGAAAAGGAAAGCACTTCTCTGCCTAGCCTTGATAATCTAATGTTATCATCCATTGTTCTTCTAGCGATTCAAATTTGGTTTAGAATATCATGTTCAGAACTCTCCAGAGACTTATTCTAATCATTATTCGTGTGCGTAAGCGTGTTTGCGATTACCCGTCTGCAGTCTAAGTCATTTCCTACAATATATCAGCCCGGACAGTCATGCCGAACGAAGCTTCTGACCTTCAAAAAACTGAGTGTTAACTCACATGAGCACATTTGCAGTAAATGTATGAAAATGATTATAACCGCTTATTTTAGTAAGAGAAATCAACCATTTTCAATCCTAACAGTAGCCATCTAGTAACTACTAAATCAGTCAGTTTGTGAGTGTGTTTCTCCATTTAAAGTGTATGTAAAGCTCTATAAGTTCCTGAAGTCTCAACTTTCATCTCAACTTTCACCCGAGTGTCCAGAACATACGGCTGCAGATCTCATGATGCGAGTACAAAATCAATCATGGATCTGCGGCCTAGAGTGTCCTGGTGCCACCTGCACTTATGGACACCCTTATGTTCGAACATTATTTTCCTTATGGAAAAACGGTGGTTTGCACACAAGTAACATAACACCACATGGGCTCAGATCTGGCAGGCCATTCCTCCCAATCAGGCCCCTCCAGGGTAGAGTGCGTAGAGCTGTACAGCCTGTCGACAAAACATTGCACAAAGCATTGCACAGATGCACAGAAAAGAAATGGGATCTGAACCACATAGGATATAAGGGGACCATGACATGCAGATGCTTTAACATTATCTTAAGATACTTAAAAAAAGAAGTATTTAAGCCTTTGACATACAATACCGAGAATGCAATTTTCCTCCAAAGAAAAGGGTCCAAAACATCTTGATTATTACACACTGGTAAATGTTATTATATTCATGGAGCTTCAGCTGAGATGGTTGGATATTTTAGAGGTACAATATGCTGACATTTTATTTCAGCATTTAGCTCTCTCCATGCTGTTGCATTTTGCTGTTTATGAATTTTTGTTAAATCCTTTAACAACAAAGTAACTGTTAAACACAAACCTTAAAGCAGATAACTTGTAATCTGAAGAAAAAATAGTGTGCCACTAATTTACAGTGCCTTGAAAAAGTATTTATACCCCTTGAACTTTTACAGATTTTGTCACCTTACAACCAGAAACGTAAATGTTTTTTATTGAGCTTTTCTGTGATAGACCAACACAAAGTAGCGCATAATTGTGACGTGGAATAAAAATGATACATAGTTTTCAAAAAATTTTAAGCAAATAAAAATCTGTGTGGCTTGCATTTCTATTCAGCTCCCTCTGCTCTGATACCCTAAATAAAATCCAGTGCAATCAATTGCTTCAGAAGTCACCTAATTAGATAATAGAGGTTACCTGTGTGTAATTTGGTCTCATTATAAATACACCTGCTCTGTGAAGGCCTCAGTTGTTTGTTAGAAAACATTAATTCAGTAAAATCATAATTCACGTCGGCAGTAATGACACCCGGTTACGCCAATCGGAGGTCACTAAAATCAATATTGAATCGGTGTGTAACTTTGCCAAAACACTGTTGGACTCTGTAGTTTTCTCTGGTCCCCTCCCCAATCAGACGAGGAGTGACATGTTTAGCCGCATGTTCTTCTTAAATTGCTGGCTGTCTGAGTGGTGTCCCAGAAACGATGTGGGCTTCATAGATAATTGACAAACCTTCTGGAGGAAACCTGGTCTTGTTAGGAGAGACGGCTTCCATTCCACTTTGGATGGAGCAGCTCTCATTTCTAGAAATATGGACAAATTTATTAAACCCCCCAAAATGTGACTATCCAGAGTTGGGACCAGTGTAAATATCAACACTTCACCGAGTTCTTTTAATTCCTCAGAGGCATCCGATGGAAGACAAAACACTGCTCAGTAGACCATTTAACACTTTATTTCTCTTTCACAATACTTCTAGAAGGGAGATGAGGCGACTTTTGTTGTGATTTGGCGCTATATAAATAAAATTGAATTGAAATTGAATTGAATTGAATTGAATAGATGCGTCCTGCACAACACGTTGCCACGGATCCCAAAATGCTGGTGTGCCCCTTTATTACAGAAGCTCTCTCATTCTAGTCTAAACAACAGTGTCTCAGTAACTTTCCACTAGAGATGGTCCCCTGTTATCTACTTTTTCCCAGGCATGCGTGAGCAAGAGTCTACAGCTTTCTACTCCCCAAGGACACATGGTCTCATGCCTTTATTTTCAGGGCTGTGTCCACTACTACACTATATAACTTATTAATAAAAAAGTATAGCATTATTGAGGCACTGCAAAAACCAGCAAAAAGCGACTTACACATAAAAAAAATCACAAAAAAAGAACAAAATAGTATCCACTTCTTAACCAAAGAGTAAAACAGTGAAATGTGGATTATTAAACATTAGATCTCTCTCTTCCAAGTCTCTGTTAGTACATGACTTAATAGTTGATCAACAAATCGATTTACTCTGCCTCACAGAAACCTGGTTGCAGCAGGATGATTATGTTAAATGAATCAACACCCCCCGAGTTATTCTAACCACAGAAGAACCAATCCAATATACAGTATTGATATCGGTCCAATACTGACCTAAATTACTGGATTGGATATGGGGAAAAATTAAAAAAATGTAATCCATCCATCCTAAAAGCACATCACAAAACTTGCGACATGGTATAACCCAGGTGAAGACCTTAGCACGTCAGAGCAGTATGCGCCATGTAATAGAGTAGTTATCATGTGCGAGATCTGTGAGCGGTCATGTCAGCAGTGTGGACATACTTCACACTAAAAGACGAAAAAAGCAAGACTGCCAAATGCAACTTATGCAATGCAAGTGTTTTGCGAGGTGGTACAGTTTCGGCAACTTTAACACCACAAACATGATTAAACACTTACAGAAACACCACGTAAAGGAGTACACGGAATTTATCCAGGCCTCCAATGCTAAGAAGAAAAGTGTACCATTGGAAAATATTCAGAGACGTGAGAAATTCCAGCCCCTTTCTGTTGTGGAAAATGACGGTTTTCAAAGCTTAAATGAGTATTTGGAGTCTTGCTACATGCTGTCCTCTCAGTGGAAGCTATCCCAGAAAATTACACACAATTGTGCAAGTTCATCTCCAAATGTTTGGAAGCATGACAACTGATATCTAGAACTCTGACGTTTGTCAGTTATCACTGCTAAGTCTGACTGTACAGTAGATAGACTCGAGTTTTACTATGTAA